TCACTCGGTTCTCCTCTTCCTGGATAACCAGGACTCTCTTCGAGCTGTCTGGCTGCATGATGAGTTTCCGGAAGACCGGCTCTCCTTCTACGCGGTTTCTTCTCTCGCCGGTTTGACACCGCCCTTTTTGGGACCATTGTCTCTCGCCCCTTGGAGACCGAAGCGAGCTGAGGGTGGAAATGTATCTCGTCGGGAAGAGCCCCGACGACGACGCTCTCTCCTCGAGATTTATCGCCGGGGTGTCTCGTTCCCATGATGAAGTTTATTCTGTGCTTTCATTTTACCGGGGCTTGATTCAACAGAGGATAGGTTTTGATTTGAAAGTATTACCAAGTGATTCCACGGATTTAACGCATCCGCTCTTAAAGATTTCAGTTGAAATATGAAAGTTCGAGCGGGATGGTTCGGTGGTGCTTTTCGAGTCTGTCGCGACGAAGAATAAACATGCCAATTAAACGATGTTTGTTTCGTCGCGTTAATTTCCGCCAAGATGACAAACTCTTTGATGACGATTTATAAAACTGTGGAAAAAAAAAAAAAGGAAGAAACGAAAGTAGCTGCTCGAATGCAAAGTATAAGCGTGTGCGTTTCAAGGAGAGCGAGAGGCTAAGGATGAAGACTCGGAGGGAGTCCAATCAAAAACTTTAATTGCTTTTCTACCCACGGTAACTCTATACTCCAACGTTATACAAACACGGATACATAGATTATTAAAAAATTTTACTCTCTATTCGTTGCGCAATTTGCGCGCAAGTCTTATTAATGCACGATTCGCTCGAATTTCACAGATTCTCGCGTGCAATTTTAATCGTATCATATAATTTCTCTCAGTTGCGTATTAAATACGGAGGAAACTTCTTCGCGAATAACCAGCGGAAAATTAAATATGTAACAAGGATGAACTTTTCGCCCAACTAATTTCCCTAAACTGACGCGGCGAACGTTTCGACGCACGCTGTTACGTTATTTACGTATAAATAGTTGTGTCGCCGCGTTCAGAAAGCCAAGCCGACCGGGGTTTTTCTGAATTTTAAACGACCCGCATACCCAACGCGTAACGTCGAACTTGCCGCAGGAATTATTTAACTTTTAAATTTATTAATTTACATTTCCTCCCGACCGCTTATGTTTGGGTCTCGGAGCGAAACTGTGTTTTTAAATGAATCCGTTATTCCGGGTCGAAGTTTAAGTCGTCCGTGGCCTCCTCTCATTGAAATCATAACGAACTTGAAAAATTTGCAATTTTTCAAGCGAACCTCGCGCAAAGAGAGAAATCATTGTCATTTGTTTTGAGGTTTGGAAAATGGTACCGCGGAAAGAGTTCGAACGTGTGATTATTTGTACAACTAGCCCCGAGCACTGCTTTAGCTCAGTGTTCTCATTCGAAACCGAGTTTGGACGCAACTGTTTATGTTGCCGAAAGCAGATGTTTGATTCACAACCCAGCAACTACATTCGAGAAGCCAACTAATATCGCTCGTTGCGTCCATTACACGCGGGCAAATGCTATTTACTGTCTACTCTGGTGGAACTGTCAACCGTCATAAAACATATCTGTATAGACCTACGTTACACTCTTGCGTTGCATTAATTTTCACGTTATATAAATATTTCATAGATCGTGGATATGTCCTGTCCATGTGAAGTAGTAATTAAATTTTAATCAAATACAGAAAGACCCAAGTAAAAGCTGGCCGGATCCAATTAAATGGTTGAAAAATAAAAAAGAAGAAGAGCAAGGTTTTTGATCGGGCAAAGATTCCAATTTAATTAAAATCAGCCAGTTGATTATGCGGCTCGCCGCGCGAACGATTTAATTCGATTTTATCTTTTAATTGTAACCGGCGATACAAAGAAACGTTCAAATTAGATCGGTTCGGCGTGCACCAGCCGTGAAACGAACGGAGGGGTGGTGGCCGCGAGGAGGCGGACGGGGGATGAAAAAAATTGTCGAGCGTGTTTTCTCTGACACAGATTTAACGGAAGTGCTTATGCAGCCCGGCACATTTGGAATTGCTGGCGAAGCTCGAGCCCGCTACGGCCGCGGACTAGCACGGACATTTATGGTAACACGTGCGTGTCATAAAGCCGGTGTTTCCACGAAAAAACATGGAAACGAAGACGGACACGGACGCGGTCTTATTTCGAAAATAAATTCATCCCGGATGCGTGTCACTCGTGGGTCTCATTCGCTCAGTCTTTTTCTGCAAAAGAAAATTAGACGGGAACCCAAGGTCTGCGAGGGTATTTAATTCTCGAAGATTTCTACGCTTCTTTAATACTAGAGAATCAATGAAAAAGTAAATATAACTTTAATGTTTGTGAAAAACGTAAATTTCAAGATTTATATTATTTATTTTGTAATTAAAATTATTTACAATTACAAAGTAGATATTTGAAAGATTATTGTCAGTTACTCGTTAGAGCTAATAATGAGGCTGTAGTTGAATGTTAAAGACTGCGAAACAGACAACAAAATCCATAAGCCGAGACAATTCCTCAAAGGGTAAAACCAGTAGAGGTAGGAGTTTTAAGCAAATATTTAATTTCACTGGAGAACGGATGGCTAAATTGTCAAAATCGTAACAAAGCAGGGGACGGACATTGTAGTAATGAATGGTGCGCCATTCAGAAAACAGAATGCCGTCCTGCGTAATGCAATATAAGGGTAGAAATTCAATTTTGCTTTACAAATCTTCCGTCCGTTAGTTAGTGTGAACAATTAAAGAACAATTATTAACTGCAATTTTCCCTGAACCTTTTAAGCTCTCCACGCTCCACTTATTTAACAAAATAAAATCTTTTGAATAAAACAAATATATATTAAATGTTAACATTAAATGTAGATGTAACAGTTTATACATCTTTATTTTTCAATCCTTGAATTTTTCGTTTCAAATCAAAACTTTCCGATCTGATATCGAACCTTGATGTTTGCATTTTTCCAATATTTATTTAATAAACTCCATAAATTAGCGCGAATGTAGTTGGAGGTTTATTTTCAAAAGCTCGTTCCGAACACGTTGTTTTGAATATGTAGACGCCAAATCCGCGAAACAAATCGGAATCTTTCAATTGGACGAAAAACGGTTTCGATTGCCCAAAGAGACGATGAGCTACGAGCGATCGGTGTGCAGAGCTCGTTAACGCGTCCGCGTTCAATCGAATTGAGCGTATTGGGCACGACGTCGATTAAAATTCTCTACATTAATTATCGACCGTTAGATTGGAACGTGAAACGCAGTTAATTGACGGCGAATGGAATTTCGATGATTGCGACGTGTGCGATTGTCGCCTCCACGTGACAAAACCGACTTCGAGAGGAGTGAGCAAAAAAACAGATATGGAAGTGACCCTCTATTTCACCATTTGAATATCACATCTAAATTCATTGAGCATGAAATCGCTCGCAGTTTGTAGCCATTTTAATTTCATTTGACCTTAACAGTTGAAAATTAAAATTATTAGATTTATGAAGTATTTCAATCAATCACCTTTTGTAAGAAATAAACCGTATATTATGTTGTAAATGCAATTAATCTTTGTCAAAATGGTTTTCTCCCCTTTTCATTCGCGTAATTGATTTCTCGACAATGAAATATTGTTACTGCAATAATAGATATAGATTCGCTTACATTCAAATGAGAATGTCGAGTACACGTATCAAACAGGGCTATGCGTAACAATTTATATGTTGAATACTATAACTCACGGCCGTGCAACGTTCAATACGAACTTTATCAACCTCCGCATTCAAGTATTGAATGATATACGTACTTTTGTCGACAAGCACGGATTGCTACCCATATGAACTGTAACACCGTCACAACCACTGAAATTGTGACAGTTCAAATAGAGGAACGCCTGTCCAATTCTCTTACGCGATATCGTCAATTTGCAAACGCTAGAGATATTTGTACGGAGGATTAATAATAGATTGATCGAGCTATAAATACAACTTTGTATAACACAAATGTTTTGATATGTTAAGATATATTTACTTCGACGAGTCTCTAAACACAATTACCGTGCTGACGTCCTGTTCTCTTTGTTATTATTACGTAAAAAAAAAAAACGGTGTCTTGCACGTAAGAAGAAACATTTTTATCGTTCTAAAATTGACTCGTCACGAGGCGCGGGACGCGCAGAGACTCGAAGGAATTCTTAAAGAGATGGAGATGGCGACGCCTAGGCGGTTGGAGGAGAGATTTGTGGGGAAAAGTTTGGCAAAATTGAGACGACCCGGAGCTTGATGAGCGTATCGTGATTTATGCGGTTCATTTCTCAGGTGGGATTGTCCGAGTTCATATCGCGGAACGAATTCATGGAACTTTCCTCTATTTCCCTGTTGAAGAATCGCGTCGTCGCTCCTTCTTCTCTCCTCATTTCTCTCCTTTTTCTTATTTTTTTTCTACTACTCGAGGGAAAGAAAAAACCGTAGCGATATCACCAATCTCTAAATGTACTCGCTTTTTACATCCATCCGTCGTACTAATTTAAAAACTGACCAAAAGGAAACGTAGCGCGGAACGGTCAGATAATGGAATAGAATATCTAATTTTTCGTCTTGAATTTCACGAAAAGAGAGAAACATTGATACGCGTCCATAACGGGAATGCTAGTAACAAAATCGTGTATCAAATTTCGAATCGTTGTGCAATAATGGATAACGTTACACAAAATCCATAGTCAAAAATGGAGGATCTAGTTAAACGTGTTGACCGGTCAGTATACAATTCCCAATTATTTTGAGGAATTCGGGAACGGAGGAAAAAGCAACTGACTGCTGGTAAATATCCGAGAAAAATTTCGATGCGACCGCTGTTGACTGAGGATGCGAATTCCGAAATGGCCACTCCGACCGTTTTTCCCCGAGCAAACAGAAAAGACGAGACAACAACAACAGCTGCGGACAGCGCAGCGAATCGAAGAGGAATACAGGAAGGAGGTATTCGTTTAACGAAGCGCAAAGGACAGTAAGATGACTATCGAATACCAACCGGAGAAAATCGTGACAGGCAGCGCGGCGCAGATGCCCAAATACATCAGCAACACTGTCCAACTGTGACGCGGTTCCTGGCGTAAGTCCAGCTTTTTCCCGCCCGCTAGCCCGCCGTTCCTTGGCCCCGTCATCGTGCCGCGTGCCGCATAGTTTTCGTCCTGGCCACGTAAACCTCGCCGCCTCCGCCGCCGTATTAGCCACGGGGAACTTAAACAATGCCCCTCCTGTGACCGTACGCTTCCTTCCTTCTTCCCGTGCTCTTCTTTCGCACCCGAGTGACGCGGATCTTGGAGGAAACGATCTTGAAACGCGTAACCTTCTCGGCACTAACATTCCACTCACCGCCCGACTCTTCACGTTTCACATCTGGGCCACTTTTTGCACCGACACCGAACCATACAATATGCTATGTAAGCTACACACACTGTTAACACGTTCTTTATTTACGGTTCCAAAGACGTCCGCGATAAGAGATAAACGCGAACGAGGGATAAAGAGTCAAGGAAGATTCGCGCGTGTATACGAGGTCGGGTGTTAAAGTGTTAACACTTGGCGCGTGACGTTTTTAGCGGCGAGGTTCGCGCGAGGCTCGCGATAAGAGCTCATTTACCTATAGGAGGTGCTCCCAGGCGAAAGCTCCAGGATATAGTTCACTGAAGAATCCACCGGCTTTCTTCGAGGTGAATCCACTGCGAGTACGGCGGTATGGGGCGGCTCACGGAGTAATAGTTTTTAACTGCATTTTTATCTCTTAATAACGTGCCGGCGTTACCGAGGAGCATCGCGATACCGAGTTGGGATCAAGGATCGATGCCGCGCTTCGCGGGTCGTGGCTGCTGCTTCTAAAAAATGGAAATCGTGCAATTTTTCATAAATGCCAGTTCTCCCCTTGTTTTGTTAGTCTTAAAAGGGACACGCTGCAGCGGAATGTTTTAATACAAAATAGCAGATGTTTGAGTTTAATATGAGACAACTATTGCAAAGTTAATTGAATCTAAACGTCTGCCACCGAAATTGAATGATAATATCGCGAGAATAAATCGGCGAATAAATTCTGATGGGATGTCTCTGTCCAGGTTCACGTCGAGGCAGTTCACGTTGATGAATTTTCACTCGTCACGCTTGTTTTAAATGAACAATTATAATTTTCATCCATAATGTTTTGTAAAAAGTATGGCTAATTTTTTTTAATTATCTCTTTTTATTTTCCTCGTGCAGATCGTCGGTGCTTTTGATGTCAATTCAAGAACGCGAGTTTATTAATCTGTTAAATTAATCAGTCAATGAAAATACCCGCAGGCAAGACAGTTTTCCCCAATAGTATATAAGTAGACCCTGGCGGCACCGTAGTCTTTGAGAAATCAACAGAAACTGGAACTGTGCGTTAGCAACGCAACAATTTTACTTTCACCGATACTCATAAATTAAACCATCCGCCGCAGCCGTAATCCTTATGCATTTATTGCCGGCATGCTAAGTGGCCGAGCCGCGCCACGCTATGGAAACACAGTTTACTTGCGCAACGTGGCGAATCAACTCCGCCGGGTTCGAATTAAAACGGATCCAAGTAGGTAATTACATCGTCTTAATTAATTCTTCAGACACCGTCGGCGGACCGACGTGGCAGCCGGTTCCAACCCCGGGGTGCACGAACACGGCCGTGGAGCGACGACTTGTCACGTCGAGGACGGGCGTAGGGTTATTCGCCGGGAGAATGGAGAACGTTCCTTCGCGTAGGTTAAATTGCACGTGCTCCGAACCCTTTCGTGGAGGGTCTGACAGGACATGCGACGATTTTCCGCGTGACTTGTCGCGTAATTAATAAAAAGAAAGTATAGCGACACGTTCTAAAGGAATGAATGAATATTAATACACTAAATTCGACGATAATTCAACGATACGATTCATTTTCTATTTTTCTATGGAATATTACTTTTCGCTGTAATTGTTTTTATAAATAAATGATAAAATGTGAACTTTTTTCTTTGTTAATGTTTAACCCACCCTCTCTGCATTTAAATACAATTTGAAAGTTGAAAAAGCATCTTCCATCTGATAACAAACGTTATTTATTATTCACTACGTTTAGAATTGTGAAAATCGCAACAAAAAGCTCGATAGCAGCAAGTGTCGCCATGTAGTCATAGCTCTTCGCGTAACTTTCTACAAATAGAGTTATTTTTCATTCATCGAAGCGTAGTGAAGCTCCGTCGGCCCGATAAATCATCATTGGCTCGAAAAACTGCGATGTATTCGCCCCCGCGTTCCAGGCAAATTTGATTTACTATATCGAGGACGTAGTTTCTCCCGGCGGTGTTCCTCGGTCGTGTTTCTTATATTTATTTCAGAACGTCGTCAGAAAAATTACGCGCTGCCAGTCCCAGTGGCCGCGCCGCACAGCGTCTGGGGACATCGGCGGATCAATTTTTAAAGCGCACCAACGAAACCTCCGCCTCGCAAGGCGAAGGGTCGACACCGAGAACAATGGCAGTGCTGATGCGAGACAGCACCGTTCGCAAATTATCCCTGCGAGGTATTATTAATTAATGGGCTTGTTAAGTCGCGTCGCGTTGCTTCATGCGCTGCAAAGGGACACGAAAACATGGACTGCTGAGGGTTCGCGTCGCTTGATTTACCATCTTAAGATTTGTCAAACGAAAATTATACATTGCAACTCGCGTCCACTGGCTTCGCCCGCAATATGAATTTATAGAATTAACTATTAATTTATTTATAACCGTTCGATGTCAAATACGTAAAAGATTAAAATAATTCGTAGACACATTTCTCCTTTTTTGAGGCCCTTAAGGGTGCAATGCCGAAAACTTCAAAAACGGATTTTTGCATGCTGTATTTGTAAACTTTTAAAAATAAAAATCATCTCTAATCAGCAGTGGTTGATGTCTCTAACATAGATACAACGTATAGATTTCTCTAAACAGGCAACGAAATAAAATGCCGTCTCAGATGTATTCACGTACAGATTTACATTCGAGAAATGATGCATGCTGAATTTTTATCTTTCTCCTCAATCACGCGTTTACAGTAAAACAGCAAATCGGTACGTTCTACATGTATCAATAGCGATACTCTAAGCTTGATTCACAAACGTTAACCCTTTTAACAATGGTTGAATTGAATTCAGCTATGAATACTTCAATTGTTTGAAATACCTATTCATGTTGTTGACGTAAAGGAAACAATCATGAAAAAAGTTTGCAAAAAAATCCAGATGATAAAATTCTGTACCCATATATCAAACCACGTTTTAATTCGCATGAAAATTTTATAAAAATGTTACAACGCTTTCGGACGCTGAGATCGTTAAAGCTTGGTACGCAAAGAGGTCGTCAAAATGAAATTTCTAACAGTTAGAATGGAAAATTCCTCGGAACGGAGCGTTAACGCAATTTGAAAAGGAAAATTCTGCTAGTTTCCTCCGAGCGGAGGCAAGGTTGCGTTTAAACCGTACGAGCGAGCAATGGAAGATATCCGAAGACGACGAGAGCGGAGAGGGATGAGAATTACGCGTTGCACAGGTGTGCGGCATGGAACGTAAAGCTCCAGTGTACGTAAATCGCGCGTCGCTTCTGTGTGCGGAACCTGCGAGACTCCTGGATGTCGTCTGCGGGCGTATCCTCACGTGAATGTATGTGCGTATGACGCGCGAGCTACGACCACGCTGGGAGTAACGAAATTTTCAGAAGTCGCCGAATTAAAATTCAAGCGCTCATATGCCCAGACCGACCCTCTTATTTCTTGCCCTTGAGACTTAAGGAAAAATTACTCAAAAGTGAAAGACTGATGTCTCCACGAGAAATTATATCACTCCAAATTCGTTTCTATAAAAAAATTTATGAACGCAATATTTTATATGGAATCTGTAAACGCTTTTCATCGACACATCTGTCTAATCTTCTACTGCTGATTTCTTAATGTAATCAAGAGGTTTCCCTTTACAAAGCCAATCGGTGCTTTTGAAATTAGAGTAAACATGATTCTATAGAAAGAAGGTTGGCCGAGAAAGGGGAAACCCTCGTTTTCAAGAAACGGCATAACTATCGGAACTGCCGCTCGTCAGGAACTGTCAAATCTGGCGAGATCTCCTTTCGTTTGCTATTTATAGAGGATTCTAGTCAACGGTAGCGGTAGCTCGGTAGTGTGGCAGCTCGTGCGTGCATCGTTCTGCATTAGCCGTCTTGTTTCTTCCAGCTTCTCTTCACTCGTGTACCGCGTCTTTCGAAGTGGAGCGAGTGCAAAGCCTCTCTGTCCGGGCGTACACATAATTACCAAAGTTAATTAGGACCCTGAAGATGAAAGGGTGTGAGAACGGGGTGCTGGATGATAGCATGCCTGGGCTGTATTAGGGAATAGCAGTACTGAAACCTTGCGAGACGACCGAAACTTGGCGGAGAAGAATTGAAACGTTTTCCTCTGACGTCAATTTCAAAGATACTACGAATGACATCCTCGAGGAATGGTTCGCCATATGAATGTATCGCGAATTATCCTTCATTAAATAATAGTCACTTAAATGCAGTGTCAATGAATTTCTGACATTTCTTTTTTCTACACGCGAGTAGCGGTAAACGAAGGCAGAGAGGGTTAAGCGTTCGCCCGACCATGTAAATTTCACTTTTATCCGTGGATCGCAATTTTTTATTTCCGGCTCGCTGTTTTCCCAACGATTGCGCTTTGACGCGAACGTTTGTGCACAAAGAACCGCTGTTACACCACGCCGTCAATTTTCCCCTAGCCATCCTCGCGCATTTCGCCAACCGACGCACCAGGCCGTCACCCTTCTGTACTGTTCCCAACTACCCCCCACCGCTACTGGCACTTGAGCACTAGTGCAATTGGTTTTTCGTGTTCGAGGCACTTCGGTGTCCTCGGAATCCTAATTTCGCGTTTTTCATTCCGCGTCCCGTGCCTCGCCCGCCCGCGGAAAGCAGTCTCGGCTCTCTCATCCGGCAGAAACGGAACCACCCAGCCTCCAATATCTGACAGATATCGCGATTTTTTTGCGGCTACCGTACACAGACAAATTGAATGAAAACGTTCGGCTGCTGATATCGTACTCGATGAAACGATATCATCTGTACATACATCGTTACAACAAAAAAATAAGCACGTCTCTCTATAGCTTTACCTCATTCCCTATTTGTGCAAAAGGAGAACTTCGCTTGTTAAGGCAACATTTTTTTAAGAATAAAAAAGTTCTTTTCACATTTGAAAAAAAAGCGGCACTTCTCACTATGAAAACTGTTAATAAAAATGACAATTCACTTTCTCTATCCGCCTCAAACGATGATCCATCCGACTGAAAATTGATCACACGCTTGAGAACGCGGGATCAATCGGCGTACGATCGAAGCGGGCGTGCAGAGGCGCGTGGTACCGGCATGGGCGTGTAAGAAGCACTAAATCCTGATGCCCCGACCGCGGCTAACCGGCCCCTCTAACAATAAACTTAGGTGAGAGACGAGAGAGACGCGGGCACGAGCACACGCAGACACCGGAGAAACCGCACGCGTGACACGACAAAGCGGCGCGGCGCTGGGATTGTACGCACGGTCGTGCGTGCGTACGTGAGTGATCCACACTAGCGGGACGCGGATCGACCGCTCGAGGCCTCGAGACCCCAGTGTGGGAGTGTCTGCGGGAACTACAGTCAGGAAGAAGCCGTATGCTTATACTGATCATCTGCACTCGTTTATTGGGTATTAAGCGCGACCCTGCCGGCCGGTGTGGTGTTCGTAAAAGCGATCCGCTCTCCTCAACGCGGTTTTTTGCTTGCTCTTTTATTGCTGCTCTTCGGGAATTATTTTTTCGGAGGAAGTTCGCGAAGCCCTTCCTCCTCGGAAATAGGAAATTAAATTGGCATACGAATTGCACATGGGTACCGGTGACAATGCAGTAGATATGCTAATGCTTATATCCGTGCCCGTGGAGCAGGGTATTAAATTAAATTCAGGATTGACATAGAACCCATTTATAGAACGCCCACGCGAATGCCAGTCCACGCAGTGCACAAAACCGCTCGAAATACTACCGCAAACTGGAGAACTACGTTTGTTCCCCCGTAACGACATGAAACGAGCCGCGTGTTTTCAAACGAGAACTCTTAACGAACGGAGATACCTGTCTCCTACGAGCAACGGAAACGAAACGAAGCCCCGTGGAATGAGACAACGATGGACACGCGAACCTCGTGCGAAAATCACGAACGCATAACTGGAAACGCGATCGATTTCGTGCTGATCGAATGCCAATCCCTGCTCCTTTCTACCATAGCGTTAAGAATCCCACGTTAAATCGTATCAGATCATTGCTTAATCATGTATAAATTCCACTTTCTCCCAATTTCTTAAAAAGATTCAAATATTCATGCCATCGACGACGTAGAACAACTTATACCTTTAAGACTGAATGTGATAATAGTATTATGCAGGTCAGAGAGTAACGTCTTTCATCTTTGAATTTATCCTAAAGTTGAAAAGAAGGTTTTATCTAATGCATAATTCTTAAATTTTTGAACAGCTGTACACGCGATCTAGCTTCAGCGTAAAACCCAATAAAGTTTCTGCTAGGAAGTACAAGATTCGAGTGGCTTTCCTCTCAACAAAATCCGCTTGAAAATTACACCGAAAATCCTGTGTCGTGTTCCAAGCGATCGGTTCCTGTACAACAGGGGAGCGTAGCACTTTGAATCCGTGCGGCTCTATTCGCATTTCGCGTCGGTTTGCATTCCACACGCGCGACCGTAGCCGCAGAAACCGGGCTGGTCCACGGTGGATTACACGCGATACCATTCGAGCAGCACGTCGGATCGTCTGCCTGGATGCTGGTCGAAGAAAGAACGCGGCGAAGGAGGATGGGGGATGGGACACTTGTACCACTCGGGCGTACGTGTGAACGTGCGCGGGGTGGAGCGCGCCGAGATATTATGCAGATAAAATATTCATGGTTATCGGGGCTCGCGATCGGGCACGCCTTTATTTTTCGAGATGAATAGAAATGGTCCCACCTCCACTATGACCCGTGGGATACGAATTCTTTCCCTACGTGCGATGAGCGAATGAAGAAGGTTAAAGGATCGGTGAATGCTTCCGTGTTTGAAAAGTAATATCGATAACGCGTATTTATTATTTGCTGGAAGCCGAGGAAAAATGGCATTGGTTGAATACGATTTTCTCCATGTATTTCTCAGCACGCAAAAAGTGTAATCAGCATAACATTTGTAGAAAAGCTTCAACAGTGTTCTTAAAAAAATTATACTGTAAACTATTCCTTTCGTCAATGCTGTAATACATAAACTGTTGGAACTATCTAATACTTGATTTTGTCTCTGGATTCGTCAGAAGGATTATTTTATCGTCAACAATTGTTCGTCGTTAACGGCAGTCGACCTCTATTTCTTACCTCCAGCGAGAATAGTATCGGAAACGCCGGTTGCTTGGAACTGGTGCGGCCGAAGTTGGCCAGAACTTTTGGCGTGGAAAAAACAACCGACCGGGTTTTGGTAGGCCGCACCGCTGCCAGGAAGTTTCGTTGGTTACGACGACGTTAATGAGCGACAAAGATTACCAATGGCACCGCTTGGTACGCAGTATCAAAAGCGGAAACGCTCGCTTTCTGCACTTCGCTCTCTGATAGTTTAGTTCGGACGGTCTATCAGAATATCGAACGAATTCCGAGAGCGTTTCGACTAGAAATTGGTCATTTCGATTGATTCGCCATTTCGCACTTCGAACGTATATTTCCATACAGTGCAGCGTGATAATGAAAGCAAAATATTGGAGGGATTGAAATCATCACAAATTTTGAAATTGGAACGATGGAATAAGTTAATTGGGGAAATGAACGAGTGATCGTAGAAGGGCGTTTGAAACTAAATTGCAAGGAGATGATTGGTCGATCGGTCTTAACGATATTCCGTCGGATTTAATTGACATTTTTGTACGTTAGACCCCGGCCAGCCTCGTCGAAACGACCCGCCAAGATTTGATTAAAATCCTAATTTACGTGGCCGGAAATTAACTCGATCGCGGACTATAAGTTTGCTGAATTAATTATCAACGGCTTGAAACTCATTATGGAACTATTGAAATTTTCATCGTCATACAACTTCTATATTTTCCGAGCTCAATAATCCTTTCCTCCTCGAAATTGAATTAAGCACACTCCTCCCTGTGAGCAACGCGCGGCGAGATACCAACGCGTAAAAACGTGCGACGACGCGTCGTCGGTGGAACACGATAATACGTGTAGCCGATCACGAATTCGTTTCGTTTCAACGTGGGTACAATAAAGAGGATCGACGACTGGCGTAGTTCTATACATATAGGCTGCGACGCGTTTTGAATATTTTCCAACGGGGAAAATTTCGTTCTGGCCCGTGAAACGAGCGGAGAAGTACAAAAGGCGGAAGCAATAAAAATTCAATCAAGTTCGATGTTACCCGCGTTTCCCAGCGGTACCAAATTAAATTCAATTAATTCCGTTCAAGTTAGTTATGTGGTCGACCTAAAAAGATGCGGCCGCCACGGGCCCCGTAATTAAGTCGACTGTTCCCCGGGAATAATTGGCTGTATAATTGACCGATGGACAAGCCGTGTAAATAATTGCCTCACGTGTTTGGTTGAGGAGAATGTAAATAATCCTGAATACGGTATTTGGTAGTACGTATACACATACATACGTGTGGATTTGTACGTACTTAATAAGGAGACTCTTAAAGTCAATTAAAATACGATGCACGAACGTTTCGTCGCGTTAGCAATTCCATTTATAATTCGATGAGCGTCGCATGTTTTATCGTACAGAGGATATTAAATTACAATTAACGGGATCTAAATATGGAAAGGTTGGCTGGAATCGATGAATTTCACGAGACAGAAATAGCAATCGTAAATAGAGGGAAGAGCTACGGATTGATCCATCTGCAGATAAGGAGAAAATGAAAAACGATGAAACGGTAGCACAGAGGCTATTGTACCCGTTCAGTGCGACGCTTGTCTTGGCGAATTCTATTCGCAGCCTTCGCGCAGATAATATCGCGTATGCCAGTCTCTGCGTTAATCACGTAATAGTGGGTGGCGCTAGAATCCGAGTGAAAGCGTCTACAATTTGCAGGTCCTCGGTATAATAATGGAGAAGAGCTGTAGAACGCGAGAAACTTTAGCTATGCTCCCTCTCCCTCTCCCTCTATTTCTATCTTCCACTCTGTCTCCCTATTTCTGTCTCTCTCATTCCGCTATCTTCTCTACTTCTATTTATAATCCTATTCTCTTTATAAGCGCACAAGTGCGAAACGGTTCCGCGTGACTCGAAATTAGCCTCGTTATCCCGATATAATTAGGCAGTAAGGAGGACTGGTCTGTGAAATTTGCTTGATCTCGATGCAGGGTCATATTATTTAACATTGCCGATGAAATTCATTTAATATAATTTTATAATCTAATAAAATGCATAAAACAGTTAGTCTGTCGAGGGAAATTTCGCCTAACCATTAACAGACCCTGCCTCTATTCATACCAATAGTGTCAGCACCGTTCGAGGGTCCTAAGTCGAGTTTGGGACAACTGCTAACGGAGCAATGACAAGGCAGGCGAGGCGACACCCTGGAAATTCGACATTTCGCAGGCAAATCCAGGGACAACTCGGGCGAAAATCACCCGGTTACAGGGTTAAGGGTCCTTAGCCAGGGAAGCCTGCAGCGGCGTGTGCGAGTGCACGAACCCCGGACGTTGAACGTGTGATACTGATTATAGCGTCCGGGGTGGTCGAGTTAAACAGAGGCTGACTTGGTGACACAGCGGGCCACGGTGCACCGTCGCCGGTACCCGCTAGTGTAATCCTTTGATTACAGCATGTTTCGAGAGTCGGCTGAATCACGAGGAAGCGCGTAAGGTGATATTCCTGAATGCTACGTCCGGAAGCCGAAACCGGGCCGCATAAGGGATAATATACAACGGGGGCGAGTCGACTGGTGGATCGCTCGCGCGCGCGCGCCCCTACATGTAGCGGCCCGGCTGATGCAGGATACAAGAGAACGAACCAGCATAGCGCATCCGGTGTGCTCTGGTAATGAAATACAGTAACATTATATTCGCGATATTCATCCGCGGCGCGGTGTGCGGTTTGCCGTTACACAAGCCAACGTCCGTAAACGTGTATGTGCATCTGCGCGTGATCGTTGTCGACGTGTCCAAGAGTATCGAGTAGCGTCTGGATTAATCAGGGTTCGGCGGAAGCCTTGAAACGCTGGCGGTACGCATGCAGGAAATTAGTAAAGAGCGGATTTTCGAAACGAACCGAGACCACCCATTTGCGAATCTGGATTCTACTGATCGTTCGCGATAAGATACGGTGATTCTTTTACGACGCACTTAGCTTAAAGATTATAAATGAGCGAGATTGAAAAGATACATTATACTATAATGTCGTGATATTTCATTATAGGTGAACGAATGAAGGATTCAGATACAGTTTTCTCTCGTAATTGTTCAATGGTTTGAAATAAAAAAAATTTGTATTACTCTCTATTTTTTGGGATACCCGCGGGGAAAGAAACGAGAGCGTATAGA